CGTAGCTTCCACTCCACAATAATAAAGTTGATACAGACCATTACTGACTAGTTTTGCTGGCATTTCTTTTATTATTATTATTATGATTTTTAATATTTTTAATTGCTTCCAGGATTTGCTGAAATGAAGCCTTAAATTGTATTGGGTTTGGCGGTTAGTACATAGCACTGTTGGGCTTGGGTTTCCCTCATGTGAGGGTGGCCCAATAATTGAGAGAGAGCCCAATTTAACTTATAATCCGACTTGAAAGAAGTTATATTTTGTTGGTTCATTATAGCCATCGCTGATTCCATTATTTATCTGTTAGTGTCACATGAAATGGAATCATCGTAAACTATAATCAAGGAAAACTCTTTGAAAAGTAGTATGATTGAATTTCTATAAAGTTTTGTACAACATTAAAGCATGTTCAAGAAGATGTTATCTTCATTATTTTGATGTTATCTTGTCAATGTATCATCCATTTAAAGTTGGCATATATTAATCCTCTTGCGAAGGCAGAAGTATGTGCAAATTCTATATCCCAGGGTCATGGCTAGTAACACCCAAACTTCTTGCAAACCACCCTTCAGGTTCACCGTGTTGAATGAAGGCGAGCTCTGCAAAGTCCGGCATCCTCCTTTGCTTTCGCATTCGTACAATTGATCTCCGGTATATTGCACTTTTAGAAGAAGTCTAAATCCATAGTACATGAAGGGCAAGTACTTCAACCACTGCATAAATTTTGGTATGGGAACATGACAAATACAAACATGATAATTTCAAAAGATCCGAAAATGGATTTCATCACATTGCTACGTATGTCTACTGTCAGAATCAGTCAAGAATTCGTCTAGCAGGAATTTTTTGAGTTTGATACGCAAGAATGGGGTAGTCTTATAATAAGACTCGACGACGGCTATAGCCTCCTGTGATACGAAACACATCGAAAGAAGCAATCATTCCAGCTCTCTTAATACTCAAAACTGCAGCTCCAATAGCTCTCCTGCCCTAATGAAAGCAAAGAAAAATCATTCAATCTCAAACTCATCGAAAAAGATTCGGATTCAGTTGACTATTGGCTAGTGACACTATCAGAAGTAAGAAGCAGTGTCAGGAAGAGCAGGGAACTGTTCTTTGAAGCCAGCCATGAAGTATACAATAACCATGAACAATGTAGGATAGAAAACATGTGCCACCATGTCACACAGAGTGCTGCAGGCATAATATACGCTTAATCTGTACTATCTGCTTTCCTTTCTTTCACCAATAAACCTTTTCAAATGGAAACACATAGACTGCTCCAATATCGATGAAGATGTCCAGAAAATGCATATGTAGAAACAATAGACCAACCTGCCGTTGAATCAAAGTGTGAGGATTTAGTTTTAAGTTTCAGTGAGTATTGTGAAATGTTGCGGTTATGGAGAATTACTTGGTCTCTGAGCTGAGCCTCGGTTGCAGTGCTGGATTTCCACCAAAGAAGGCCCAACAAGACAGCAATTCCTAGAGCTTGAACCAGTCTTAGCTTGTCAAAGTAACTCTACACCTTTCTCTGAATGTTCTTTGTAAATTATAATGAACTGTTCCCACCAGGACAGTGTCCAGTCTTTCTTAACTTGGACCGCCACTTGAAGATGCTCCGGTGCTTTCGTGTTTCGATGATTCTCTTCCTTCTCTTTTGGCCTATTTGAGTTTTTGATTTGAGTTGCAGATACTAAAACCATATGAAAAGAATTAGAGAGGAGAAAAACAGTAAAGAAATTAAACTGCTAGGTAGATAAAAATAAAAGTGTGATTGTTACTTTGATTACAGCCCTCTCAGCATCAGAAGCTCCTTAGATGCCATTAACCCTTCAGGGACACTAATGTCATTCACCTGTCCTGTTGCTAAATCTAGCAAGAACTCTGCAGGATTCATTGCTTTCTGGGATGAAGCTCAAAGATGAAAAATAGTCCATAGACTCTCTAGCCTTCCCATAGTACACAGGATAGCCTTCTGATATGCAGAAGTTTATCGAACATGTGAAACATTCTGCTTGAGGCGGTGGATGGTTATGATTACTGTCCTCCTGCCTATCAACCATTAAACATATCTTTAAAAATTAAGAATTGTTGCCTAAAAGTTAGCAACTCTTTCGGACTGAATGAGATATACAGACATCAACACCTGAGAATCGTATATTATACGAAATGGCACCGAGACACAATTTAGCTGGAACCGAGCAATTTTTTCAGAATTTGAAGCAGTTTGTTAGCAGAGGTGGAATCAAGCCCTGACGTTGGTTCATCAAGCAACAATAAGGAAGGATCAACTAGAATTTCATAGCCAATAATGGTTCTTTTTCTTCTCCTCCAGATAATCCCTAACAAACCTCCTCCGACTCTTGTATGACGACATCTATAGTTGATTGTTTAGCGAAAATTATCAATTGAGACCACATAAAAATTCACATTACAGGCATTTTAACTGTATTTTTCCACAGTCCATACCTTTCCAGGCCCAGTTCCTTCACAATCATCTCAACTCTAGCATATTTTTGTTGCCTGGTCATGGTCCGTGGAAGCCTCAAAAAGGCTGCAAACACTAAAGTTTCTTCACAGTTAACTGTGGGAATAAATATCATTCTGTGTCACAAATCCAATCCTGCAAAAAAGAAAATTTTACAAAATCAATATGGCATGGAGCAAGATGTACAAAAGCTTCTTTGAGTTGGCCAACCTTCTCTTGAGAGCTGGATTATAAGGATGTCAAAAAGTTATTTTCCCTAACATTTCTGGTAACCTTCCTCCAATGCTCTCAACAAGGTTGTTTTCCACATTCCTGAAGGACCCATCAAGGCCAGGATTTCACCAGGGCCAATGCTTCCTGTAATGCCCTTCAGGATATGCTGTAATCCTTCTAGCACGAGCCACAGCCTGCCACCTTTCACTGCATTTACAAGAGAAGTTGTCTATTTTTTCACCTGAGCTCCACATCTTCAAACTGCATCATCATGATATATGTAATATAATCAGTTTGTTTCTCCTTCAGACGTCTGCATTATTTTTTTTTTCAAATTAAGATTTAACTACCTTGAGAAATATAGGAGAGGGTGGTTTTATCGATACTCAAGGTCGCGTCCTCGATGTTAATCTCAGAGGACTGTTTCTAATGTAAGCTTGGGACATGAACTCACTGTGTGACCAAAACCATGGCTGCCTGCAGTCTGCATAGACCCCATTGTTTCAATTCCTCTTCTCTTCCAACTTCCATATTGCTCTCAAGCTATACTTACCAAAAGAAAAAATGGTTGAGAATGTAGACAATGTTATGGAAGTTTAATCCAATGGGCAAATGCAAGTGAATCAACTGTGACAAACCAGAAAGCTTGCCTATATATGAAGGGGAAGAGTAATGGTGGTATAGCCACATGCTTTCCATGGCTGAATTTTGGAATATATTTTAAGCTTGGTTTTAGTTCTTACATACCCTTTTAACCATTTTGACTGCCTTATGAACATGCCAAGAATATGCTGGTGTGCTGTTTAAAATTATGAACCGATAACATTATTGAAACTATAATATAACAATATTTAAAAATATTATTTCAGCAGAATTATTTTACACATTTGCTTTATTCATATTTTTCTTTTTGCAGAAGTGAATCAAAAAATTTAGTGAGGAATTACTTTTTTAGTGGAACTTTGTTAAAAAAAAAAAAAAAGAAATATAGAATTTAGCCACCTTTTCCTCATCTTAAATACGACAGCGTTTAGGATACTCAATCCCCATTTCCAAAACGACGGCGTTTAGGATACTACAAATACGCGAAGTGAACACCGCAAAACAGAAAAACAGAAAAACAAGCAAAACACAACGGCGAGGGAAATGGAGGAGGAATCGGAGAGTCCTTCGTTCGCTGCAAACCGGCGGCGTTTCGATCCCAGATAACGTTTTGTCGATCAAAGACCTGACGCCTTCCAGCTAGTTCTATTGCGGACAGTCTCTCAATCTCTTGAACGAAACGTCCTCGTTTGTACTTCTATGCCTGATTCAAGGGCGAGAAGTTCAAGATCTGTACGGAGATATCTCTGGCGATTAAGAACTTGGGTTATATCGGCGATATAAGCTATTACAAGGTAAAAAAAATGAAAAATTTATTGCATTTGGAAATAAAAGATTTCACTTTGCTTTGAAGTTCTAGTTTGACTTGAGAAGAAAAATCATTTCTTTTTGAGTGTCGTGAATAATTTTGTTTGGTTTTTGTTATAAGATTTGTAAATGGGGAATTAATTGCCCCAAAAAAAAAAAAAAAAAAAAAATGGGGATTAATTTAATCATGAGGTTTAGGTTTAGATTGGAAGTGCTTTTTAGAAGTCCTGTAGAAGTGCTTGTGAGTGAAAATCTTTTGCCAGAAGTGTTCTGTTAAGAAAATTGAAAGTGGCTTCCATGATAATTCTATTAAAAGTAGTAATCTCAGTGCTCTTTTTATCCCCTCAAAGTGATTTGTTTTATATCCATTTGAACTCTACACGGTCTGCTATTTGCAGAAAGTGTTGTAAGTAGAAGTCCTTTGGGTAGAAGTCTTCTGTTAAGGAATTTGAAAGTGGTTTTATAATTCTATGAAAATGCACTTCTTAGATGCATTTTTTTCAGAAGTATCTATGAAAGCTTTTATTTCCGAAAGCTTTTAGTCTGAAAAGTGATTTTGTGTATTTCTTTGAACACCAGATAATTGATGTGAAAAGTGTTATGTATTATCGTCGGGTGATGGAACTGAAGCCAAAGAATTACGAAGTTGCTTTTACTTTTTGTTGCTGCATTTCAATAGTGGGGTATTGGAGTTAGTAGTGTCACTTGTGTAGTTGTGTTCTCTTTATGTTGTTCTTTTTTCTTATCTTTGTGAACTTGGATGCCTATGGTATCTTCACAGAGGAACTAGATGATAATTCTTTGTGATGGGACTTTTTTTATCTTTGTTATTTCTTCATCTTGTTGTTGTATTTATTGTTCTGGAACTATGCTTAAAACAGATTATATGTGTTGATTCCGGCAGTTCCTGCATCCATCTGAAGACGACTTGTATAAGTTGATCAGATTCTTGGTGGAGAGGCTTTCTGAATTGCCTAAAGGCATAAAAGTTGCTGAAGTAAAGGAAATTAATGCTAGAAGGAAAATAAACGAGGATAGCATTGAAATCACTTTCAAGGATAGTGAAGGAATAAAATTGGATAATCAGAAAGTTGAGATCAAACTTAAAGAGGACTTATTGAAGAATGAAGTACCAGAGTCAGTCAATTATGGGACTGAAACTGTATCCACCAGTGGGTCTTATAGAGGTGAGTTTATCCCTCCTGAGATGGAGGAAGCAGCTTCAGGTGATGTTTTAAGCTCTGGAGAACAAGATTTCAACCAGATTGAGCCAGCTAATATTCTTTCTCGGACAGACTCAACTGAAGAGCCCAAGAAGTCAAAAGAAGCATCTAGAAATAAAGAAACTGTGATTCTGAGAGATGACAAACTGTTGTCAGCATCTGAACAGAAAGAAACTTCTCTTTCTTCCAAGGTATGTTTATCTAAACTACTATAATATGACTTGGTTATCTCAAGCATAACTATTTGGTCTGCCAATCTATGCTATAAATTCAAATATGAAATGAAGCATCAAAAGGCAGTCAGAAACTTTAATTTGTATAGAGACACATTATCAAAAGATTAAAATGGGAATTCTATGTTCTTTGTGTTTAAAAATTTCATTGCTTGATGTTTGTTGTTTAAATAGATAAGAAATGAGGCAGAAAGTTTACATAATCCAGAAGAGTTTATGGGAGCAGTGATTGCAAAGACCTCAAAATCAAGGAACCTTGAAGAAGAGTTTGATTTGTTAAAGGCAGCAGCAGGAATGGCATTGGATGATTCACATCCTATCGCGTTTTACCTTGAGCAGCTTGATGAACAGATAAATACTAGAAAGTGTAATCTTGTTGAGATAGAGTCACAGTGGTATGTTGGGATTGTCCAATTAATTATTAATAGAGCTTGCTACTGTATACTTGGAAATGGAGTATATACTTGACATCAATGATTTTTCGCAGGGATGAATCTAGAAAATCTTTGGAAGAGAAAAAGAGAAGTCTTGAAGAATCTATTCTTGCGAACGATCCAGAGGCTCAAGAAAAGCTCCAAAAGCTAAGAGAAGTTGAACTGGAATGACAGTCTGTTTTATCTGAAATTCGAAAGAGGTATATTTTCAAAAATAATATGTAATATATGTAAATGTTCACTTTCTTGCTGTTTCATTGTGAGAGAGCTGCTCTATTGGGCTTTCAATCTTTTATAAATTATCTTTACTTATTCATATTCGGATGTCTTTAATTTTGTAGGGAGGATGAATACTCTAAACTCTCTGCAGAGCTTGAGAAGCAGTCCAAAGTGGCATCTAGAAGATCCTACATTGAGCGGGTAAAGGAGATCACAAAGAACAGTAGGAAACAAGATGCAGACATTGAACGAATATTGAAAGAAACTAGGGAGCTCCAGTTAGAGAGTAATTCTATCCAAGAACGTCTTCATCGAACCTATGCTATTGTAGATGAGATGGTTTTCAGGTTTGTATAATGTTAATTATATTATTTCTGAAGTTGCTTTTTTTGTGATAATGTTAATCCGGAACAAATTAATTATTCGAATGTGCATAACAGACTTCACATTTGATATGCAGGGAAGCAAAAAAGGACTCAGTTGGCCGGCAGGCTTATAGACTTCTCACTAGCATACATGGGAGCTTCGAGCAAGTCTCAGAGAAAATCCTGGCCACTGATAGAATACGACGTGAAATCACTGAATACGAAAAGAAGCTAGCAGCCATGGCTTCCCGAAGCTTAAATGTGGACAAACTACAAGCTGATCTCGATGTCATTCTGAAGGAAAATGAGCACCTTGAACAATGTCATAAAGAATATGGTTGGAACCCACTCCAATAACTCAATAATTGGGCTGGACCATAGGTTTTTCATGAGTTTGGGTAGAATTGTTCTTCTTAGAATAGTCAAGCCATGCACAACATGGCAACAAATCCATTTTGTTCTTCATTTGTTGACAATTATTGCTCATCAGATGTATTTTTTTTTTTTTTTAATGACAAATTTGAATTTAATCAGAGTACACATACTCAGAACGTATTGATTTATCAGAAGGGTGCTGTATAAAAGATGTACACATTTTCTTTTTCTCTTTCTTTACTTTTAATTCTCAGAATCTAATGAAACTGGAAACACAGTTCCTCCTTTGGGAAATAGGTCATGTAAGAAATGACAGGTGTATCTCTTTTTCATTGTTTTAGATGTATATGTAAATATAACATGTTGACTGTTGACTTGTGACATATGATAATGTAGTTGGTGCACATGCAAGATTTTCTCTTGTTTTTCCAAACCATAGAATAAACATGGATGATAACATGTCACAAAATGTAAAACCTCATCAGATAGTCAAAATTTCTTACACAATGGTCATTGGAGACTGGCCCAACCTCACTCTGATCATCCAAAGAAGCCATCATACACTCTTTACTTCTCAACTACACCTTAAACAACCCATTAAAACTTTAAAACAGAATACATTCTCCATGACAAACTAAGCTAAGATTCGACTTAGGGTTTTGCCTCAACAGTGCTTACATTCATAAGCTTCAGGTACATAGATCAAGGGTCAGGTAGTGGAGAGAGAAATGTTATACCTTATGACTAAAGAAAAATTTATTTATTTATTGGTGGAAGGAACATCCAATATTCGCTTCAGTGATTGCAGTGGTGGGCGAAGGAGGGCTAGGCAAAACTACTCTTGCCGGGAAAATTTTTAACTACTAAGTGGTGAAGAAGCATTTTGATTGCCAAGCTTGGATCACAGTTGGGAAAGAATACTTGAAGAAAGATTTACCAAGGACAAATTTACAAGAACTTTTAACTTTCAATAGGATCTTTCTTTTACTATTCTATTTACTTCAAATTTTAAGCATTGTTTTACTATTCTCCAGTGGGCAGTAAGTTGAGAATTCAGTCAAGAACACAACTTTGCCAACCAAAATTAGGTGCCCTGTGCAAGAACTGAAAGCACAGTAAATGAAAGAGAGAGAGAGAGAGAGTTGACCGGGCGTCTTGTGGGTGAGCTACCGGCCCATCTCTCACACGCTCAATAGCTTTGAATTCTTTAATATAATCATGCACCTTTGATGTCATTTCTCTCTTTCTTCATACAAACAACAATTCGATGAACAATTCCTATCCCATTTCACATATATATAACAATATCACTCACCATTTCTTTTCTCAGTGACCAAACAAACAATTCATTCTCCCCTTTTCTTTACTATAACCACCATCAACATTTCTACTTAAAAATAAGCGAGTGTTAAAAAAAAAAACAAAAAAAAGATTAAGTAGAGATGGGACGCATACCGTGTTGCGAGAAGGACAATGTGAAAAGAGGGCAATGGACTCCTGAAGAAGACAACAAGCTTTCTGCTTATATTGCCCAACATGGCACCAGCAACTGGCGCCTCATCCCCAAGAATGCTGGTTTGTTTACTCTCTAATTATAAAAGAATTTCTAAAACCAATTGAGAAGCTTGACTAATACGTTGTTTTTTTTATTTTGATATGTTAGGTCTCCAGAGATGTGGGAAGAGCTGCCGGCTGCGCTGGACGAATTACCTTCGTCCTGATCTTAAGCACGGGCAGTTCTCAGACGCGGAAGAACAGGCTATTGTGCAGCTACATTCTGTTGTTGGCAATCGGTATGTCAATGCATATGCATGTTCTAAATGCGAGTATCTAAATGACAGAGAAAACTAAATGATTGATTCGAAAATGTGTAATGCAGATGGGCACTGATTGCAGGTCAGCTACCTGGCCGGACTGATAATGATGTTAAAAATCATTGGAATACCAAGCTGAAAAAGAAGCTTTCAGGCATGGGTATCGATCCGGTTACCCACAAGTCGTTTTCCCACCTGATGGCGGAAATCGCCACCACGCTGGCACCGCCTCAGGTGGCTCATCTTGCGGAAGCAGCCCTCGGCTGCTTCAAAGATGAAATGTTCCACTTGCTAACTAAGAAAAGAATGGACTTCCAGCTCCAACAATCAGCACCAATGAACACTACAGCCACTTACATTACAAGTAAAAATGATGAAAAAGATGACACTATTGAAAAGATCAAGCTAAATCTATCAAGGGCAATACAAGAACCTGAAATGCTACCCTCGAACAAGCCCTGGGACCCTACAGGAGCAATCTCGGCAAATTTTGCCGGAGGCTGCAGCGGTTTCCCTATATCTGTTAATGGATTTCACTACGGCACAACATCATTTGGTAATGATGGAGCTGCATCATCACCATGGAGCCAGAGTATGTGTACTGGAAGTGGAAGCACATGTACAGCCGGAGAACAACAAAGGCGGCTCCATGAAAAGGTTGAAGATGACAATTGCGAGGAGTCCGAAGGTGGAGAAGAAATCAGGAATGGATTCACCATGTACAATACAGATTATGTCTTATGGGATTTACCATCTGATGATCTAATGAATCCTATAGTTTAGGAATGCTTATAAAGCAGAGGCAAGAAGGCAGACTGTGGCTGGCTTTCTCCTTTTGCTCACACAGAGCCATCTCCTCGTGTAATCAAAGTCAACTACTTGGTTTTAGTTATAAACAGTTTAGTAGGTCGCACGTGAGGTGAGGCTCATATACACTTTTATTGCAAACAAAATCTTAAGGGCCACTGACTCAGGTGTGTGAATCTTGAGAGAATTACTTTTTATTCATGTAGTTTTGGTTTACTCCATGAAGGACACTTAGGTTTCAAATATTAGCATTTTGATCCTTTGACTTAAACAAAATTTTGCTGACCATTGATTGTAAGTGAATGTGCCTGAGATTTAGTATATAAAGCTTGGGTCACATAACTAAATAAACATATTTTGGGTAAAGAACCCGTGCATGAAGCCCAAAATAATGAACTTATTTGTTTAAGTTGCGATAATATAGTTTGCACAATACATTTTCAATAATTGTGAACTTGAATGAAGAAACTTGTCTTATCTCAATAAATTAAATGGCTCTTATGCAATAAATTAAGTCTTGACAGTAACATTTGGTAGATTAAACCTATGCATCCAACTTTTTAAATTAATTCGTCTAATTTTAGGACGGCAATTAAAGGAATCTTTTACCTTGTTTCCATGGAACAACACAAGACCTTATGACCATTACCCTGTTAATGTCCATGGACTAAAACATGATGGTAGAAGATTAGAAATAATGACAGAGATAAGCTACAAATAAACAATCAAGTCCTTACGCTTCTAAACTCATCAAGATTTGCAAAGTGAATCACCTGGTTAGTTTCTTCTTTTGTATCTTTAATTGATTGTTTTATTCTTATTATTGAATCGGGTTGCATATTGTTAAAGATAATATAATCGGATTGCATAGAAAGTACAATGGAATTATTCTTCTACCAAATGTAAATTTCATTATTTTCTTCCATCAAAATGTTATTTATGCATAATGCTATTACATTATTATATCTAACTAGAAGATGTAAAAATCCATTTTATTTTATTGTTGTTCACTTTGAATTCAGAAAAAAGCACTGTTTTAATGTTGATTATATACAAATATCTTTAGATTGTATCTTATATTTATGGGGTTTCTGTATCTTCACACAATTGATTGTTATTTTTATTCACGTATTTCAGACATACTTCTTTGCTCCTGTTTTGTCTGCTGATTTGAGATCAGTGCAGTGAGTAACGGAAAAGAGGTGAGATATGGCAGAGTTTGCTGTTTACTCTGTAATACAAATCTTGAGTTCTTTGCTCGTCCAAGAAATCAAGTTGTTGGGAAATGCAAAACAAGGAGTTGAAGACATCAAACGTGAACTGGAGAGCATCAGATCTTTACTCAAGGATGCTGATACAAGAGCTGCACAAGAAGGAGAAACAGGGAGCAGTGAAGGTGTCAAAACTTGGGTGAAACAATTGAGGGAAGAAGCTTTCCGGATTGAAGATGCTATCGATGAGTACACAATGACGGCGGCAAGACTTCCTCATGGCAGAAGTCTCCTTGGTTACATTCATAAATCATGCTACTTAATAAAGATTGTAAAACTGCGACATGAATTCACCACCGAGATTAAAGATATCAAACTATCACTTGCCGAAATACGACGAAGAGGAGAAATCTACAGCTTCAGGTACATAGATCAAGGGTCAGGCAGTGCAGGGACAAATGTTATACCTCATGACTCCAGAGTTGATTCCTTTTTTATTGAAGACGCTGAAGTTGTGGGTATTGAATCTACTAAAGAAAAATTGATTTCTTTATTGGTGGAAGGAACATCCAATATTCGCTTAGTGATTGCAATAGTGGGTGAAGGAGGACTAGGCAAAACCACTCTTGCCGGGAAAGTTTATAACAACGATGCAGTGAAGAAGCATTTTGATTGCCAGGCTTGGATCACAGTTGGGAAAGAATACTTGAAGAAAGATTTACTAAGGACAATTTTACAGGAAATTTACCGTTTAACAGGGTCCACTCTAATGGAGGTAGACAAAATGGAAGAGATGGATTTGATCATGATGTTGAGGGAACACTTAAAGGATAAGTGTTACATGATTGTGTTCGATGACGTGTGGAAAATTGAATTTTGGAGAGACGTAGAGCATGCTTTGCTTGATAACAAAAAGAAAAACAGTAGAGTGATGCTAACGACACGGAATAATGCCATTGCTGAATTCATACCGTTCTCGATAGTTCAAATTCACAAGCTTGAACCCTTGTCTTCAGAGGAGGGATGGAAACTTTTTTGCAGAAAGGCATTTGGCTCTGATGACTCTTGTCCTCCAAACCTGAAAGAATTATCAGCACATATCATTGGAAAATGTGGAGGTCTACCCCTAGCAATTGTTGCGATAGGTGGACTTCTCTCAAGAAAAAACAAGATTGTTTCTGAATGGAGAAATATACTTGATGCTTTGGGCTCAAAATTAAGTAATGATTCCCATTTTAAAGATTGCAACAAAGTTTTATCTGAAGGTTATTATGATCTCCCTCACCATCTCAAATCATGTCTCTTATATTTTGGTGTGTTTCCAGAAGGCTATGAAATTAGATTTGGAAGATTAATTCGCCTCTGGATAGCTGAAGGCTTTGTCCAATGCAACAACCACCTTCCATCTGAGCATGTTGCAGAAGAATACTTGAAAGAACTTATTGATAGAAGCTTGGTTCAAGTTTCAAAGAGAAAAGCTTCTGGACGAGTTGCAAGTTGTAGAGTTCATGATCTGATGTATGAGATCATTTGCAGAAAGATGAAGGAATGTGATTTTTGTCATTTCTTTAATGAAAACAACTTGAGTTATTTTAGTAAAACTCGGCGTATTTCAATACACAAATGCACTAATGGTGTTTTAGAGAGCACAAAAAATTCAAAGATCCGTTCCATTTATCTTTTTAATGTAGACAAATTGCCTGAGTCTTTCATGACTACATTTGTTGCTGATTTCAAGCTTTTAAAGATACTTGATTTTGAAAATGCCCCTTTGGATTGTCTTCCTGATGGAGTCGGAAAGCTCTTCCATTTGCACTACTTAAGTTTGAGAAATACAAAAGTTAAAGAACTTCCCAAGTCCATAGGCATGCTTCTCAACTTAGAGACTCTTGATTTGAAGTGGACTTTTGTGAGTGAGCTCCCAGTTGAGATCAAGAATTTGAAAAAATTGTGTTGTCTAATTGTAAGACGCTGGGACGACAAAGGTCCTTACGGAAGTAAAGCAAAAATACAAGAAGGTTTTGGGGCTTTAACAGAGTTGAAGAAGCTATGGTATGTGCATACAAACACTGAAGTACTTGAAGAGCTTAGGAAACTAAGGCAGATGAGAAAGTTGGCCATTAGGGTCACAAATAGAGATGTGAAGGATTTGTTTGCTATTGTCCAGAATATGGAAAGCCTTGAAGATTTGAGTGTATCAGCGTTTACAAGTGGACAAGTGCCTCTTGATATACAATCCTTGGCTTCTCCTCCTTTATGTCTTCAGCAGTTTCATTTGGGAAGGATATTTATTGAAAGTCTACCAGTTTGGATTTCTAAACTTCAGAATCTAATCCGATTACAATTGGATTTGGTTGGATTTACCAATGATTCCATGACAATCCTTCAAGCTCTGCCTAATTTATTGGTGTTTATTCTCTTTGTAGATGACTGTAGTGAACAATTACATTTCAAAGAAGGTTGGTTTCCAAAGCTCCAATACTTGTATCTCAAGAACTTCAAAGGATTGAAATGCATGATAATAGAGAAAGGTGCAATGTCTAGTCTTACAGACCTGTGGATTGGACCATGCCCATTGTTGAAGGAGATTCCAACTGGAATTGAGCATCTCAATAACCTAAAGATACTTGTATTTCTTATGATGTTGAAGAAGGTTTATTACATGATAAAAAATGAGAACTGGGAGAATGTCACTAAACACATTCCACAAGTACGTGTCACTGTCAGCTATAAAGAGATATCTAGAAGAGAATACTTTTTTTACACTTGTAAAGATTTGTCATCTCTTTCGGCAGAAGATTTTGAGAAGCTTATTGAAGAAAATGAGGCTGAATAACAAGCAGCCTCATCACAGGATCAACAGGTCAGTCTTTTAAAACAAGTAAGCTTTTTGAATAGAGTGTTTCTCTTAAATTCACTTCTTTGCTATTAAATATTAGGTTATGCCTAAAATATGAAGTTTAATTTCTTTCATAATATTTGTTGCATTCTCTAAACCAGGACAATCAGTTATATATACATGGCATCTGTTAGAGAAGAGAAAGTTTTCATCCACATAAATCATCTTTACGGTCAAAGATTATTTCAGTTTTTTTACCAGGAAATAGCACCATATCACTACAAACTTTTTTCTAAAATAATTTAATAGTTGGATTAGCTTATAACAAAGTACATAATTCTAATCTGGTAGTAATTGTAAAATTGCTCTTGATGCTAATTCTAATTAATCATCAATTATCTATGAATTATAAACTCTTTTCGTTACTTAGATTTAACTGACCATTGTTTTTTCTTCTATTGCTCATGGATAGATGAAGAATCTTAGGGCACAAGGACGAACCGCTGAATCATCTTCTCCATTGATAAACACGTATTTTTTTTTTTTTAGTAACCAGGGTCTCTGAGTTAGCTTATGCTATTGCTTTGAATATTTATTTTGAAATGATCAGTATGTAATATCTATTATTTCCTTATTGCTGAGTACTGTCAATCTGTTGTTATTTTCTTTGTCTTGTGGTTGTTTTGTACTTGGTGAATTTTTTTTTTNCAATCCTTCAAGCTCTGCCTAATTTATTGTTGTATATTCTCTTTGTGGATGAATGTAGTGAACAATTGCATTTCAAAGAAGGAAGGTTTCCAAAGCTCCAATACTTGTATCTCGGGAACTTCAAAGGATTGAAATGCATGATGATAGAGAAATGTGCAATGCTTAGTCTTACAGACCTGTGGATTGGACCATGCCCATTGTTGAAGGAGATTCCAACTGGAATTGAGCATCTCAATAACCTAAAGATACTTGTATTTCTTATGATGTTGAAGGAGGTTTATTACATGATAAAAAATGAGAACTGGGAGAATGTCACTAAACACATTCCACAAATACGTGTCACTGTCAGCTATAAAGAGATATCTACAGAATTATAAAATTTCTTCTAGTTGGCAGTAAGTTGAGAGTTGCATTGAGAACACACCTTCTCCAATTAAAAACACTGGTCCCCTGTTTTACCCTGTTTCCATCTAATAAATTGCCCTTAAAGATAATAAGTTATCAGTATGCTGAAAGTTACTAATATATTCACTGATTGTGGATTCAATGATGTATTGATTTCACCGACTATTATTTGTATTGACAAGAAATTATACAAAAAGAAGCAACATTCCGCCTTCTTATACTCACAAACTGCAGCTCCAAATAGCTCTCCTGCCCCCTAATGAAAGCAAGAAAATCATTCATCCCAACCTTATCGAAAAGATTCGATTCGTTGACTTACTTGGCTAGACAGCTATCAGAAGTATAGCAAGCAGTGTCAGAGAAGCAGGAACTGTTCTTTGAAGCCAGCCATGAATATAACAATAACCATGAACAATGTAGGATAGAAAACATGTGCCACCATGTCACACAGAGTGCTGCAGGCATAATATACACTTAATCTGTACATATCTGCTTTCTTTCTTTCACCAATAACCTTTTCAAATGGAAACACATAGACTGCCAAATATCGATGAAGATGTCCAGAAAATGCATATGTAGAATAATAGACCAACCTGCAATTGAATCTAAGTGTTCAGGATTTAGTTGAAGTTTCAGTTAGTATTGTGAAATGTTGCTGGTTGGAGAATTACTTGGTCTCTGAGCTGAGCCTCGGTTGCAGTGCTGGATTTCCACCAAAGAAGGCCACAAGACAGCAATTCCTAGAGCTTGAACCAGTCTTAGCTTGTCCAAGTAATCTCTACACCTTTCTCTGAATGTTCTCTTGTAATTATCATGAACTGTTCCCACCAGGACAGTGTCCAGTCTTTCTTAACTTGGACCGCCACTTGAAGATGCTCCGGTGCTTCGTGTTTCGATGATTCTCTTCCTTCTCTTTTGGCTCTATTTGAGTTTTGTATTGAGTTGCAGATATAAAACCATATGAAAAGAAATTATGAGAGGAAAAACGGTAGTAGAAATTAAACGTTGGTAGTAAAAATAAAAGTGATGATTGTTACTTTGATTACAGCCCTCTCAGCATCGAAGCTCCTTAGATGCCATTAACCCTTCAGGGAGACTAATGTCATTCACCTGTCCTGTTGCTAAATCTAGCAAGAACTCTCGCAGGATTCATTGCTATTTCTGGATGAAGCTCAAAGAAAAATAGTCCATAGACTCTCTAGCCTCCATAGTACACAGGATAGCCTTCTGATATTAGCAGAAGTTTATCGAACATGTGAAACATTCTGCTTGATGGCTGGTGGGATTGTTATGATTACTGTCCTCTGCCTCTATCAACCATTAAACATATCTTTAAAAATTAAGAAATGTTGCCTAAGAGTTAGCAACTCTTTCGGACTGAATTGAGAATATACAGACATCAACCGAGAATTCGTATATTATACGAAATGGCACCGATACCAATTCAGCTTGGATACCTGAGCAATTTTTTCAGAATTTGAAGTAGTTTGTTAGCAGAGGTGGAATAAGCCCTGACGTTGGTTCATCAGCAACAATAAGAAGGATCAACTAGAATTCATAGCCAATACTGGTTTTTTTTTTCTCCTCCAGATACTCCCTTAACAAAACCTCCTCCGACTCGTATGACGACATCTATAGTTGATTGTTTAGCGAAAATTATCATTGAAACCACATAAAAGTTCACATTCACAGGCATTTTAATTGTATTTTTCACAGTCCATACCTTTCAAGGCCCAGTTCCTTCACAATCATCTCAACTCTAGCATATTTTTGTTGCTGGTCAGGTCCGTGGAAGCCTCAAAAAGGCTGCAAACACTAAAGTTTCTTCCACAGTTAACTGTGGGAATAAATGTCATCTTGTGTCACAAATCCATCCTGCAAAAAAAGAAAATTTACAAAATCATATATGCCATGGAGCAAGATGTACAAAGCTTCTTTTGGAGTTGGCCAACCTTCTCTTGAGAGCTGGATTATAAGGGATGTCGTTAAAGTTATTTTGCCCTTTAACTTTTTCTGTTAACCTTCTCCAATGATCTTCAACAAGGTTGTTTTCCCACTTCCTGAAGGACCCATCAAGGCCAGGATTTCACCAGGGCCATGCTTCCGTAATGCCCTTCAGGATTGCTTGTAATCTTTCTCAAGCTCAGCTGTGAGGCCGCCTTTGACACCACTGCCTTCACTGCATTTACAGAGGAAGCTTGTCTATTTTTCACCTTGGCTCCACATCTTCAAACTGCATCATCATTATAATATATATATAATCAGTTTGTTTCTCCTTGAGATGTCTGCATTATTATATTTTTTAAATTAAGCTTAACTACCTTGAGAAATATAGGAGAGGGTGATCTTTATCAATACTCGAGGTTGCGTCCTCGAGTTAATCTCGATGTACTGTTTTAATGTAAGATGGGACATGAACCTACTGTTGTGACCAAAACCATGGCTGCCTGCAGTCCTGCATAGACCCCATTGTTTCAATCTCATCTTCTCTTCCAACTTCCATATTGCTCTCAAGCTATACTTACCAAAAAGAAAAATGGTTGAGAATGTAGACAATGTTATGGAAGTCTCCAATGTGCAATGCAAGTGAATCAACTGTGACAACCAAAGCCTGCCATATATGAGGGGAAGAGTAATGGTGGGGTAACGCACATGCTTTCCATGGCTGCATTTTGGGAATATATTTTTAAGCCTTTGGTTTTAGTTCTTACTACCCTTTTAACCATTTGACTTGCGTTATGAACATGCCAAGAATATGACTGGTGCCGCTATTTAAAATATATTGACCGATAACATATATTTCTCAATCTAAAATGTTTGACACGTTATTTCACAAATATTAATCTATTTTTTTAATTATTTAAGACCCTAAGTTATTTAATTATATTAAATACACCCCCAAAAAAAAGAGTTTAAAACTACCAAACAAACCACCCACCCCAATAACCTGCCAGATTCCGGCAATCACCCGGTGATAGCGGCATATATCATAATAGTCACACAGCCCCGGAAATAGCGCGTAATGTGTAGATCTGCGGAAAGGCCAGATCTGCCGTAACGACGGCCGTCGTTTCCAGCCTTTTCCGGCCATCGCAGCCACAAACAATCCATAGATTTGCCTTTTCCGAAAAAGGCCATAACGACGCGTTACGGCACAGATCTGACCATTCTGTGTCGTAACGAAATTTTTCGGCCAGATTTCGGCGGTGTGTGGTCAGAATCTGGCACCGTAGGTGGTGTGGTGTTTTTTGTCATTTTATATATTTAGGGCCTTTAATTAAATTAGTAACCTAAGGGTCTTTTTATAAATTTTAAAGTTGACCTCGTAATACTCCCCTATCACACAACCCCAATACTATCTCCAAATCCTATCCAAAAATAATAACCAAACGACCCATTGACATTATAATATAAAAATATTAAAAAATATCTGTTATATTTAAATAATTATTTCAGCAAATTATTTACACTTGTGCTCTTATTCATATTTTGCTTTTGCGAAGTGGTATAAAAATTTAGTGAGGAATTATATCTTTTTCAGTGTAAACCTTTTTTTTTTTTTTTTTTTTAAAGAGAAAATAGATTTTGCCTTCTTTTGCTCATCTTCAATACGACAGCGTTTAGGATACTCAATCCCCCCATTCCCAAACGACGGCGTTTAGATATCTACAAAAACGCCACCGTGAACACGCGAACAGAAAACAAAAAACAAGCAAACACAACGGGGGGAAATGGAGGAATCGGAAGAGATCCTGCTAAGTTCGCTGCAAACCGGCGGCGTTTCGATCCCAGATAACGTTTTGTCGATAAAGACCTGACCTTCCAGCTTAGTTCGATCTGCGGACAGTCTCAATCTCTTGAACGAACGTCCTCGATTTGTACTT